TCGAAAGAATTCTTAAACAGTCTCTCCTTACCTAAATAGTTAAAATCTCGCCTTGAAAGGCTCCAAAATTTTGAAAATAGGCGATGGAGAAAGACTCCAAATTATACAAAACATTTCCGTGAAAAGAACAAGGAAAATTTGATGGGGGCCGTCCACCGTCCTTGTGAGGTTGCAAAATTAATTTAAAGGAAGGGCCCACAATCGAACGAGAATTGACAGGTGCCCCTCTACCGAAGTTGTTGAGAGAAAAAGGGACAAGATCCAATTGATTACAAAATGAGAAATTAAAAAAAGGCAAAGGCGAACGATACCGCGCGATGACGCGCGTTTTATCGTTCGAGCTTGAAAACTGATCTGTCTTTATCAAAGTTCAACCTACCGTTATCAAAAGGACAATAATTCTAACCCATTTAAAGTCAATATGCAGAAACTTACCCCTCCACCATTTATTCAACCAAGAAAACGAAGAAATCATATATTGAGAGAAGTTGCTAGAGGTTTAACTACAGAGATATCAAATGAGGAGTCAGGCATGTCAACAGCAACCAACTTTTTATGGAATTTGTTTCATCTTCTTATCCAGGGGTTAGTTATTGATCCTATGTTTATGTGCACAGGAACGAAGAGCAAGTAGGAGGTTAGAGGCGATGATGGAGGAGCTGCAGTCAGAAATGGAAACCATAAACGAGGAACAATCAAGATTACGACAAGGGCAAACAGAAATGAAACAACACTTTGAAAAGATCCAAGCGGAGTGTGCACAGCTGAGACAGGAGACCAGCCTCTTTCTCCAGCAAAATCTAGGGTCCCATCTTCGCCTTGTTGCCAGCAGTCGGCAGCCATCCAACTTCCATGGTTCTATCTAACTAACATCTTGCAAATTAATTAGACGACATGGCTTTTGCCTTAGCCATGTGTTGCTGTGTTAAATTAACAATCCATATGTGAGTCACCCTCCATTGTACTTCTGCTACTGGTTGTATTGAGACATGCTTTCAATGGATAAATAAGAAATCATGCGTTTCTATAAATGAATTACGTACAGAGGAAAGAAATTTATTATAATCAATTAAATTATTTTGTTAATTAACAAATTTATTTAATTAGTTGAAATAATGGGGTGGTGTTATTGCCACAGCCACTACTGTTAATACCACAGCTTTTTTTAATTATTTGACTATTATACCCCTCATTTGAATCCAACTTGCAGCAGTCACCACCTTCTCCGCGTGGGTTAATGGTCAATTAATTAAAAAAGCTGTGGTGTTAACCTGTGAAGCTGTGGCAATAACACCACCCGAAATAATGTGACCTCTCTTCCTTCCCTTTCATTATTCTCTCAGTTTTTCTCAAAGTAAACATACCATCATCAATCTTACCATTAAAGGCACTTATAATAACAGCCTTAAAGAGCTAAGCTGGCGAAACGCAGCAACATTTAAGTCGTTTTAATGGTATATATACTTCTGCCTGCTAAAAAAAACTGCAAGAAAACAACCCCACGGCTCGATCTAAGGAAATTATATATACTTGAAGTTTAGTTATGAAAAAGTTATACTCTTTGAGATTATTTGTTTGGTGTCTACAGCTTGATGTGACTCCCTATTTGCTTGCTTCCCCAATTCAACATTCGCCTATTGCAGATTCAGCTCAAAACGACCCTGATATCAGTTCTAAAGCTGTTTGGTTATTGCTGCAAGTATACACTCTATGTCCACTTTTCATTTACTGTTCTATAAATATGTACAAAGAAAATTTTATACCTCCGTTTTATGGTTAGGTAGATCAGCCTTTTTCCATGGTCTTGATTTTGCATTTTAATGAGACCCTGCAACAATAGCATGTCAAAACCATATAGGAAACATGAGCAGGTGGTATTCGATCGATTGACAAAGATATCCTACCGTCATACAACGAAGACATACCAAGTGCAGGTTCCCTCATACAAAATAGCTCCTAAAGATTAACATTTAAACTGAGGTTCTCATAGATCATATGAAGTCAACATTGCAAACAAAAATTTTGAAACAAAATATTAAAAGAAACAACCTAATAATAAGTAACACAACCCTCCACCTACTCTTTCTTGTGATATTTCTATTTTTTAATTAATTGGTTTAAATAGTTTTGTGCTTACAGATAATTAGAATAGTATGTGACAGCCTCCAGTCTCCAAAATAACAAAAAAAGTAATGAAAGCAGGTTACTATGTGGGTTCTGAAACACTGGTTTGGGTGACATTTTCATGGTTCATCAACTGTATAACTTAGCATACATCAAATTATCATCTAACAATTATTTGGTTGGCAGCATTATATTAATTACATAATGTATTTCCTTTTATTTTATGGTTAATACGTGAATGCCACGCATTTCATTTCCTAACATGCTATTTACTCTTACACTTTCAGTCATCACTCCAGAAAGTGGCTCTTCAGACTGGAAGGGTAC